GCATCATGTTTGCAAACCTAATGGTGGTAACATTGTATAATACCAGAGGTCAGGCTTGAAAGGCAAGATACTCAGGGTGCTGCAGTATCTTGGTTGAGAATCAGTGCCCTAGAACATGTATTGTAGTAAGTGATCGTACCTTGTTAGGGTGTTAGATCAGAAGATATAATTCTTTCCTCTCAGACTTAATTATATATAGGGACCTACCAAATTTGTGATTGCATGATTTTCATGGAAACCATGAATTTGGGTAGGCTCCAGAAAAAATGGCAGGCTCTGCAATTTTGGTGGGCATACTAGAAAAGAAAGGACCTCACTGAATGTAAAATGTTGGCTCCATCTGGGGAGCCAGCAGTTTTCACAGCCATTGTGGCCTGCTTACACAGCTAGCAAGATGGCTATTGCCCCTGCGCCTCACAGCTGTTTGGCTGCGAGGGCTGTCTGTTAGCTGGTCCCACCTCTCTCCAGGTGGAGGGGTGAGGCCTCATGATTGACAGCCCTCGCAGACACTCAGTGGCAAGGAGCGGGGCCACCAGGTCCCCTCAACCAATCAGAGGTGTGGGGATGCCTGTCACAGCCCGCGAAAATGGCAGCTGGCCCTGGGACCTGCCAACAGAATCAGCTGGCTGCCTCCTCAAGTTAGGTAGTGCCCTGTTTATATATGCACTCACTTGAATTAAGTTGTTATTTAGATAATCTTTCACACAAGTTATTGTGTTCATTTTAATGAAAAGATTGAGCTGAGCATTGGCTTTGGTTCCAGTTTTAATAGAGTTTCTTCTTTACAGTTCCATTATGTGTCATGGGCTGCCAGGTCTTAGCTAATTCTCAATGGCACTGTTGTATGGTCACGTGCTGGAATATGAGAATGCTTATGGACATTGAAAGGTGTTAGGGTTTTTGTATGCTTCTCCAAGCAGGCTCCATAATTGTGAAGAATTTAGAGGGTTGTTCCTATGAATAATGAATTCAGATAGTGTCCTAAGAAATGATCATTCATTAATAGTTTGCGTTTGATTTTAATTGTTTGGAGGAAGAGCTGGAAATCTAGCGATAATTACTTCTCATAGGCTTACATTTGGGATGGAAATTTCCTTCCTTTGCTCTGTAAGTACTAGGACTTTTTGTTGTTGTTCAGACCTTAAGTACCAGGCCATACTGAGCTCCCTAGATCTTCAGTAACTCTTTAGAACTTGCTGCATTCAGGCAGAGTCTACATGTGCATGTAATCATGATACATTACCCTGGTGTGAAATGGTACTGTCACTGCGTTTGTGACTTTATTCTGCAGCTAATTAGTCTGCTCTGCAGTTAAGCACATATGTAGATGTAGCCACTGAATGAGTCAGTACTTCCTCCCCCTGTAAGCAGAAGATGATGATTTATTGTTCCTTGTGACCCAGACCACTGTAAACGTGTTAACAATCAGTTTTAATACACCTTTGTGAAAAGTTATTGCTGTACTAAAATGCATAGAAGTTCAGGGCAATTAACTTATTGCTGCAGCAATAAGTTATTGCTGTTTGTGAACAGAAGACACATTTTTAATATGGTTTAACTCCCTTAACCATCCTTTCTTTTATTTGGTATGGAAAAGTTCATTCAGTCCAATTAAACATTGATAGTTTAAGAGTTTGTTGCATAAAATAACATAAAATAGGGGCTAGCAGGTTCAGTAGATTAAAGAACTAGTCTTTCATGTCTTAAATGATTCTCCAGAGGTCAGAAGAGAAATGTGGGTAGGTATTTTTTACCAAAGCCCTGTTAGATCTGTATAAATGGTAAAGCTATAATATGATGGGTTAATAGTCTTGCTTATAGAAAAACTCTGGCTTCTGTGTCATTCTGCTCTGAGTGACAGCCACAGGCTTTTCCCCGTACATTGATGTTTTTCAGGATTCTAACAACATGAGCCCTTCCCTTCAAGTGCAGCGAAATCTTCTGAGTAAATTTGTTCTTTGCATTCTTTAGAGCTGGGGTTTTCAACCTTTTTTTAATGTGTACCCGGCGGCCCCCTTTTTTAGTAAGTGTACCCCTGCGTTTTTGTTTTTGGCCAACCTAATCTACTGTTGGGTTTTTTTTTTCTGATAAGAGAACCTTGCAAGCCTATAACAGTAATGCTGTGCTGGGGTGATATTTTTTTTCCTAAGCTTTATTTGGGATCAAGCCTTTTTGCTTATTTCATCCCAAATATAAAATCTGGTCAATCAAGGTGGTGAGCTGCCAGCAACTGTAGAGAAGAAACCATTCTGTAGCAAATGCAAACCTTAACAATCAAGGAGGGAGGGAAGAGAACGCTGTTTTATAGTTGTAATTTAAGTCTAAGTGACTCAATGTGCCTGAACTTTTACCTCATTTCTAGGCTTTTTCTCTCCTTCGTTTTCCATTGGCAGTAATGATGTTGTTATAGCTATTGCCAGCTGTAGGCATTGTGCCACATTCTCTCAAAATAAACAAACATGGGATACCAGCCCCTGCAAAACTTTCTTTGAGTCTCTGGCTTCTCCCTCATTTTGTGTTTTAAAGTTGTTTTGTATCATTGTTTTGCATCAACTTGTGATAACTGTGAGGGGGGTGAGGGAGAGAGGTTGAGTTTCTGTGCAGCAAGATGGGATGATGAAACTGGAAACAAGCATCCTGTCTCCATGTAGAATTCCCTCTTTCCAGTTGGGCTGTAGTAGAAAACTTATTAAAAAGTGCCAGACCTTTAGGATGTATTCTGTTCCATGTGGCTTTTTTGTCACCTTTCATTTTTACCACGTACTTACATTCCTTAAAGAACATATAAGGGTGTACTATACACACAATAGTAAGCTTTTGTTATAGCACTTGTCCTCATGCTATTTCAGGCTATTACAGATGTCAGTATGTTATCCCCATTTACAGGCGAGTACGTAAGGCACAGAAAAAATGAGATAAATTTGCCTAGGATCACCTAGCAAACCAGTAAGCGGAGCTGGAAATGGCACCCAGGTCCTCAGACTCCCTACCATGGGTCCACAATTTGCCTCCAATAAAAATCAGTCCCTTGGGTCAGGAGCCCTGTCATCCAGCCCCCTAAGTCTGAGCTGACTTCTCCTGTCAATTAATCTGCTTAAAAATATTGACCTATGCTCTCAAAAATGCCTGTCAAGCCAGGTGATACTCAAAACACACTGGATAGCTCTTTGGCTTTTCTTGGCTCAACAAGAGCTAAATTATCAGTATTTCCTTTCTATATGGTGATCTTCTGTTATAGTGATGAGTTAAAGCATAAGTCTGTGACGGAATATTTTATTCCATTGTAATAATGTAATTCTTGCAGACCAAACACTGAATTTTTGTAGCAAAAAATTGTATGTTAATTATTTATCTGTATAATCTTAGGGTTCTGACACAGGAAGCCAGTATGTGTACAATTTTGTCCACAGAATTATTTATAATATATTTTTCTTGGTCATGAATGTTAAAATCTTCCTTCCTGTTGTGATACAGTATGCAAAATATAGTTGTGAAAAGTTTAAAAAAAAAAAAACATTAAATATTGATAATTAGTCAGTGTCAGATAATTAATCATTGTCACCCTGGGAATGACAGATTGACCAAGTTGTATTACCCCTTAAAATTAGATCAAGTATCTGTTCCTGCAGTGTCCTGTTGTTAGGGTCTCTTTACATTAAAAAATTGCCACATGATTTTTTTAATATGCTTTAAAGTACTATTTTAATAGTTGAGTGAAGGAATAAAGTTTCAGTGTATTTTCATAAGGCTTCTAATGAAACAGTTAAATATACTTTAATAGTAGAATTCTTTGTATTATAAAGTGAATTATTTACTATTAAAATAGAGAACAAGAAGGAGCTGTGTTAGAAAGTTCAAGTAATCTGGTGAGGGAGTTATTTACTATGTTAAAACTAGTGCTGGTCTTGCAACTCTTGCCAGCTAGAAAAGTAATTGCAAGCTAAGTGCTTCAAAACGGGGTGAAACTCTAGTATTTTTGGTTGACACACAATTTGGAGCAGGCCCAAAAGTATTGAGCTGTGAACAGTTGTCTCTGTGTTTGTGAGGTCTAAACTGGCAGCAGCCAAACACTGTGTAATGAAAGGGAGTCTAGAAGGCAGGTGGAGCTTACAGTTAATCTTTGCAAGTGTTGACATTTATAAAATAGGACTTTTATACCCTTATAATATTTATACAGATAATATATGTATACCCAACTGTATTTTCTTAGTACATGTCATTAATTTTAAAATAAATATATATTAGTAGTATATGTTTTAGGTTTCCCTTACTCAGGCAGTGCACATGCAATAATATATAATGCATGGAATTGCATTTCATTAGTTAAACTCAAAGTCTTGGGAACAGACATTACACATAAACTGGTTTAAGTGATTGGAAACCAGTTTAAGCCTGTAACAGAACAGAAGTTCAGAGCACATAAACCTGTTTCAAAACTGATTTAGGTTAAACCAGTCTATCAAACTTCTGTCCTAGATGCCCTCCAGGCTCAAGTCAACTCACAGTCCCTCTTTGCATCTCCCCGCCCCACCTGGCAGTGTGGGCAGGCTAGCCTTGGCCCAAGCTGTCCACTTCAGCTGAGCAGGGCTGGGCTCGGCGTGCCTCCAAGCCATCACAGAGCTGAGGCAGCAAAGCCTCTGTTCTGCAGCCCTGCTCCTGCCTGTGCCTGTCAGCCCAGTGGGGAGAGGAACAGAGCCTGCCTCCCCCTGGCCCTGAGCCCTGTTGTGCTAGAGTTTCCCTCGCTGGGCCCACATGAGTCATGCAGATGGGAGAGGTGGGGAGGTTCCCTTGGCCCCAAATCCCCATACCAAAACCCCAGCGGGGGTTCCCCTGGCCCTGGTAGGGTCCCCTGAGCCCTGCTATTAGTGCAGAGGGGGAATTCTCCCCTGCAGCCCAGGGCCAAGCTGGTGCCAGATTGTGCAAACAGATGGGATGGGATGGGATGGGGAATTCTCTCTCTGCACCAGTGGCAGGGTTCAGGGAACCCTACCCCGGGAGGGGGAACCCCTGCTGAGGTGTGGGGACCCCACCACACAGGCTGAGGCCCTGTGCCAGCTGGGACCCAAGCTGGACGGACTGCTGCTTCCCCCCTCCCCCCCACTGGCAGCCAGTCACGGATGGGCCCCATTTGGCTGCATTCAGGTGTAGTTGGCAGCGGCCGGCAGGCTGGGAGTTGTGCTCTAGCGCCCTCCAGCTTCCAGCCTGGCCCACTGAAAGCATCTGGCTGCCTTTCCAGATTCAGAAGTGAACGTTAGTTCACTTTATCTGTTCAGTCTGTGAAGCTTAGAGAAACCTGCAAAGATTTAATTGATTCAGCCTCAGGCTTTTTGACTGTACATACTTAGCATGAAAATGGAGGATACTCATAGAGCTGGTGGAAGGGGATGCTGCCTAACTAAATGTAGAGCTTTCTAGAAAGGTATGGGTGGAATACTTGGTATTGTCTCCTCACTCCTACAGCCACTCAGCTTTATGACCAAGCTAGAGAGAGGGAGAGTTGTGATTGAAATGAAATAAAGGTCAGCAGCAGCAAGCAGTCATTTTCCAAGCATCTCCTTGGAAAAAGCATCTAGCTACTGTTTAAAGGCACTCTTGCATTCATATAGTATCTCTTTACACAGAAGGAACTGTTACCCTTCTCTGGCACGTAAGAATCACACCACCAAGTGTTGGATGCATCTGCTGTAAGACACGGTGCAGTAAGTGCTTACAATTGCATTGCAGTACTCTGCAAGAGTTTAGGCTGGAGGTGGACATTGTCTCATCTGATTCAAACTAGAAGGAAACCATTATGCAGGTAGAATGTAATGACCAAAACTAATTGACAGAAGGCTATTTTATGTCTGTGCTATGAAAGGAAGACTTCAAATCTAGCTGTTGCCTCATGCCATTGTAACACAGCTGCTGTCTGTACGCCAGGGCATACTATTATGAGATTTAGTTTAGGTGATCAACTTCATCTTAGTTTGTGGTTTTTGACCTGGTAATAAAGGATTTGAGTCCCAAGTAGTAAACAGGGTTGTTTTGCTAGTGTAGATGGTGCCTTAGAATACTTGATACAACAAGGGTTGGCAACATTTTTGGGCAGAATGCCAAAAACACCTTGACTTGTAAGACATTGGCATACCAAAGGCAGATGGCGGAGGAACCACGAGGAGTCTGATCCTTGTTGTGGCAGCACAGTCCCAGCCCCTTCCCCACCATCCACCCTGAGGTGTACGTGCCAAGCAAAATGCCTTCGCTTGTCATGTTCTGGCACCCGTGCTGGGGGTTGTCTACTCCTGTGATATAACAACCTTGCTGTTGCAGGAAGTACTTGGGGCCTCTGCTCTACATGGTATCCAAAAAAATGCTTCCAGCAGCCCAGGGCCTGCCTTAACGCTGTGCTGGGGAATTGGCTCATGCAGTCTGATGAGAGCAAATCCCAAGACACTATGGCTGCAGGCACTTGTGTGTTTTGAATGAAGTTGCACTGTGGTTAATGTACTTAACGAATCAGCAGAAATGTAATGTTTGGCCTGCTCCCCAAATCTCTTGGGGGCGGGGGGGCAGTTCTTCTATAGGCCAGAGAAGCCTAAATGCTGTCATTCATTGGTTGTTTACAAGCTGCTTTTCACTTAATGTGTTATCTGCTTTGTCAATGCTTTATTATATGACAAGCTCAGGCTGGTGTTTAAACCAAAAATATTCTTAGATGAAGTATATAGTAAAAATCTGCAATACGTTTATTTCGGGCTGAATTCTGCTCCAAGGCAGGGGGTTGCTTGCTGCCTGGCTCTGCGCTCTAGCACCCTCATGTCCCAGGCAGCCCCTGTCATCATTTATACTTGTGCTGCAGCACAGTTTAGTACTCTATTGTAAAACAGTACTGAGCCCAACAGTCCGTGACAATACTGTCTTATGGCAGGGTTAATTAATTTCCTGTACCCTAATATTAGTGCATGTATAGATGGTGATGCTTTACTGTGGAGCTAATTAGTCAACTCTACAGTAAAGCGCACATGCAGATGCACCCCTTATGTATTTTAGTTGATAACTTGTTTTTACAGAATCGGTTTTTAGAAGTATTGCACTTACTTGCATCACAAAGTAGTCCCTAAAGGTGTCAACTGAGGATAGGGCCCAGTGGTGCTCTGCAGGGATTATGCACACAAAGTGTGTTAATCCCTGCTCCAGAGAGCTCCCTGTTCAGGACTGGGGAAAAGGAAAAGAAACTGACTGAATTGTCTGAGGCCTTCCAGGAAATCAGTGCTAGAAACAGGAATTGAACTTGGATCCTCTGAATCCCAGTTCAGTGCCATCGATCTCAGTTGCACAATAGTCTTGGCTTGGAATGAAATGGAAGCCTTCGTTCTCTAGGATAGTCATTCCATGCACTTAGAATTCATCCTATTAAAGTAAAAGTTTGTTTTTTAATGGAAATAACAGACACCTTTCTTGACCATAATCAACAGTGCTTTTTATTTGTGCAGAATTCCAAGTTCAGTGGTTCTCAATGTTTTTGGACTTGAGACACCTCTCCACAATTGTTGTGACTTGAATGGCACCCAGTTAAAACAATTATGTTACAGTGCTCATCTCCTTGCAGAGGGACCAGGCAGTGGAGGTGGGGGATCACCCAGGCAGGGGCAAGCCAAAGCCTGCACTTATCTGCTTATCTCCTCACACCTAAGGATAGGCTTCAACAGATCACTTGGTACTCCAGGGTGCCACATCACTCTGGTTGAGAATCACTGGCCAAATGAATTGACCAAACATATTTTATGTACTAGGGTAACTGTTGACACTGACATTGTCCCTGACGTAAAGCATGTGCATGTGGAAGACTTGGGATAGCTCATTTTCCCAAAGCTAAATCTCTCTGGTTTTTCTAATATCACCACATACATTTCTCAAGAAGATAATTGAGTGGTTTTGGGAGAGACTAGTTGTATACATATAACTGTATAGATACCTAATGAATGCAACTGTCTTATCTGTATACAGTAGAATATTGCCTGTAAAATGGTCTCATGCTAAAGAATTATGAGACATACAAGTATTTAACTCAGGGGTTGGCAGGTCACTTAAAGAGTGTTGGTGACTTGTTGAAGGCCCTCCCCCCATGCAGAAGCCTGAGCCGACCCGCAGCTTTACCATGCATCAGCCCCCTCTTCTGGCTGGAGTCCACCTGTCTGCAGCTGTTGTGCCTCCTCCAGCCATGTCCATATCTGTCCAAACACACCTAGCTGCTTCCAGGACAGGGCTGTGGGCACAGGCGGGCAGGGCACGCTATAGTTGTGGGCTGTGACTAGCATGGAAACCTGAACCCACTGCAGCTCTAGCACACCTTGCCCTCCTGTGCCCAGAGCCCTGACCTGGAAGCTGCCGGCTGTGTCCAGACTTGGGGTGGGGCATGCTACAGCTTTGGGCAGGTTCGTGCTTCCGCTTCCATGCAGGTGGCAGCCCTGGTCGGAGCCAGAGCTGGAGCCACTGCCCTCCTGCAGGCTGGATCCATTCACTTGATGAGCCAGATGTAGCCCGTGGCCCATATTTTGCCCACCCCTGATTTTAACTACTTTCCCACCAAATTCCCTATATTTTGAAAAAGAAAATGAACCACTGGTTTCTTTCAGCTTTTCACTACCATGTAGAAATCAGTTTTGTAAATTTACTAGTTAACGTAGAAAAGTGTGGGTGTATACTAAGTCTGTAGTCTGTTGTGCTCTGTGGCTTTTGTGGGTAATATTGTAAATTACTAAAGGAGAAGGGAATGTGCCATTTTCTTCTTGCATGTAAGCCTGAAACCTCCTTTATGCTGACGTTTTCTTTGTTGCCCATCTTTTGTAACATTGCACTAAAGCAGTGCCTTGTGCTAATGAAAACTGGAGAACAATTTTTAAATTATATTTATGTTTTCTGTCTTGTTTTTGTCCAGTGGACATAAACAAAAATCCATTTCTAAAACAATCTGGTTGAGCCATACTCAGTCCTAACTTGTTGTTTTACTAGAACATGATATGATATTGTTTTAGAATGAGCAAGCTATACACAGCTTCCACTTTCATTGTGCTTCAAGAAAAAAGCTGCAGTCTTGAAAACTGAACTCTGATTTGTCTTAGTTTTCTGGAATTGTTTAATATACGTTTAATATACACAATATACGTAAACTATACGTTCTAGTCTTTCTGCCATGGTTTTAAGTGAATTTCTGGACGTTTAAACTGAATTATTTGCATGTAGTTCAGCCAAAGTTTGATGAAAGGAAGAATATGTCATGTAATAGGAGAATTTCTTAAGAATCTTAAGCAAAATCTCTGCCTTTCTTGTTTGGCTTTGAAGAATCTAAAATGGGTTGACTTCTTTAACTTGTGTTAAATTACTCTTTACATTTTATTTCTGAAGTAAGTAATGCTGTAATAGCAATACAGAAGTGTAGCCTCAGCACAGTCTGAAGCTTTTATTGTAGCTTTTGCCCTTTTATTGCATAGGTCCTTTTTATATAAAGCCTTTTATTTAATTCCCTCAATTCCTCACTCTGCCCAATACACAGCCAAAATTCACAATTCTAGAAATGTTGACCATATGTTACCTTATTCTCTTGAATAAGCTATTAAAATGCAGTTGAACAAATATTTCTAGGCAGTTAAGTGGATTGTCATTTGACCTATGTTTATGATTTATAGCTGTGCCTTTTTGTGTGGGTGCTCATATGTTACTAACAAATGCAAATCTTATTTGGTGCTTTGGGGATTCTTCATTTTCAGCACACACTTGTCATTGTTAAGAGGATAAACTGAGACAATATCATTTAAGCAAAAATATTAGCATTGTTTGTAATTATGTTTTTGAATATCTAACATAAATGTATAATCTCAGTTTAATAACAGAAGGTCAGAGTTGATCTTAATTGCATAGAAGATTAGGAAGTGTTGAGTTCATATGTCATTCTTGTAGATTATAAAATAGGACTTACTAAATAGGTTATTTAAACATAAAGAAGATTCTTTTTTTAGATAGGGCAGATGGCTTCAACAATTAACTAGTGATTTGTTTACAAGAAGACTCTCAGCCTCAGCTGTATGTAAAGAGCTAGGTGAAATAAAAGCAGGCAAAAATACACTTAGGGAAAATTATATATTTGCTTGTTTGGGGAGCATATCTCCTCTCATAAAATACCCTATCTTAGAACAAAAACAAGCTGCATTTAAACTCCCTTAATATTTGTCTCTCACTTCCTCATTACATATCTTCATCATTATTTATCTGCTTAAAAGCAGAGTATATGAAACTTAAGTATTACCTTTTACTATGATCCCCATCCAGACAGCTCAAGAAATGCATAGAGTATCTGCTCCTTTGTTCTGCCACTTAACATTTGTGTGGAGCCAACTCTGTGCTGCTTGTGTACAAAGCGTCAGCAGTTAGAAAACGATAAACTTAGGCCTGTTTTTCCTCCCTCACCATGAGCTGTTCATATATAGCTTTGATTAATATTTGAAGAAGTGATATGAGTGCACTAATGTTGGAAGAGCAGTAGGTCCCTTACTACAACAATAAAAACCCCACCCATTTGAATGGGAGAGGGTAGATATTTCAGAGCAAAGGGATCTACATAAAGAATTCTACTATCAAACCAGCAACAGCTACTAGTTTGCTTGGATTGTAAGGTAGGCTTTGAAACTCCTTATACTACCTGCTAATACACATATTCTTAAATAAATTCTTAGTCTGTGAGATCTTATGCGGAAGAAAGCTATTGTCAGTATATATACATGCACAGTGCCTAGCACGATGTCAGCCCAAGGGCATGAAGGCACTGCCACAAACACATACATAATGTTCAGCCACAGTGCCATGGAAACGCCTAGATATTTCTAGCATTTCTTTTTTCTAATAAATGTTCTATTAAACCATGGCCCAGGGCTCTAAGGAGAATTGTAATGAGTCTTGAATATCTGGACCAAACTCGATAGGGAATTGTCATTTTACTTCTATTTTCTGCATACAGTCACTTCTGTGTGCAAGTGTCTGTGGGGGCCTGAGCACAAGTAATGGCACTTACTATATTTAAATTCTTTGGCTTATTCATCCAGGCAGCTCAGTGCAAATAATAATGTATGCACAAATAGAGCAATCTCTGGGTAGGTCCACCTGACACAAATGTAGTGTGGTGCTAAGGTATCGGAGTTAACTGAGCAAGCCAGTTTGGGTTCCAGCAACAGTTTTAGCTGCATGAGTGCAGTACCTTGCCTCAATTGATATACCACATTCAGTGCAAGTTCATCCATAGCTGGATTCTGTGCTGTGCTGTGTAGATGTAGCCCAATGCTATTGTGGTACCTGTTACAGTAGTGGTTGAACAGGTCATGCTATGTTAAGCTTCACAACATCTCAAAGAAATAGAGAAATATTATCTCTATTTTACATTTACAAAGAGGCAATAACGTATCCAATGTCACATAAAAAGTCTAAATGAAGACAGGAATTGCACCTTATTCTCATGAATCTAAGTTTAGGGTTCTAAGCTTGAGCAGTCCTTTTTTCTTGGTTCCTCAAGTATTTGTTTATAAGTGTTTTGATTGGGGGCAGCTTGGAGAGAGAAGGAACATCCAACAAAGGTATAATAGAATTGAGATTGATGACAAGGTAAGACAAGTGAACCAAGTCAGTATCTTGCTGCAATGATTTGATTAGAGGTGCACTGGTACATCAGTCCCATATTGGATCAGCACCTATATAAGGAAAATTGACTGTATCAGCAATTGGCTTTTTTGGCTGATGTGGCTGATAATGCCACTGATAAAAATGTCCTGTGCATGTGCAGCCGCAGTGCAGCATGGCACGCAGGTGGACAGGAGCACAGCTCCTCAGTGTGGAGAGCAGCCGGGTCTGGCTGCTAGGTCTGTTGTGAGGAAAAGGGCA